TTCGGGAAGCGTCTGCAGGATATCCGCTGCGTCTGCTCTCAGAGAAGCGGCGAGATGACAGGCCTTAGCTTGGGAATCCCATCCATTCGCATCCGCAAACGATAGAAAATTTTTGTCCTATACACCTGCCAGGAGGTCTTCTTTCCATCATATGTAGGATAGTTTCAGAACGGAACGAGCAGGCATCGATAAAAATTTGAAAACCTTCAGAATTGTTTCCTACCGTCGCTATGCATTCTTTAAAGCTGTCAACTTCTTTGGCGACGGCAGCAGAAACCCTATCATCAATTTGTTGTTCGACGGCAGAAACTCTCTCTTCTATATGTTCTTTTACAGAAGAAATTCTTTCTTCTACTTGTTCTTTTACCGAACAAACTCTTTCTTCTATTTGTCCAACTTTAGTTTCAACCGCGTCTATTCTTTCTGCTGCCTTCCATAGCCTCAAATTTATTTTCTATTACGCAGGTAATTCTCTTTTTCATTTCGTCCTCACCTGCTTCATCTCATTTTAAGAGATTTCATCTCTTCCTTAACGGATTCCTGGCCCAATTTCATTTCTCCTTTAACGGATTCCTGGCCCAACTTCATTTGTTCCTGTGCAGCTTTCATTTCTTCTTTTTCCTTGAGGGATTCCTGGCCCAATTTCTTTCTTTCTTCTTCTTTAAATGAGGCAAAGGCTGATATTAAATGCCTTAATTGCTCTTTTCCATCGCTCTTGTTATTGGCATTCAAACCCCACTCCTGACACCAAAAATTGTTGCGTGCGTACGGGTTCGTTATGAAATGAATGCACAAGTCCGATGAAAAATGAACAAAAATTTATTATTATCACAACAGAAATGCTTAATTTTTTCTCTCAAATTATCATGCAGTATCACAATATCTCACAGTAGTTATCTTTTAACTACTCAAATGTACAATAGAACGTAATTCAAAACAGCTAAAGAACGCTAATCCGCGAATCGCTACACAACGAGCAGTTTTCTAAATAACAACAAACTAAGCAACTACTACAAACTGAGATGTTTTTCCTCCTTTTATAAGATTTTAAAATCACGCGCTAGAATTTTCCAGTACTTTCTCGAAATCAAAAAGAGATATTTATTTTTATTTAATGCACGCGCATCTTGTATTTTCAATTTTCCGGCTTAGCTTTCTTTTAATATTCGTCACGCGCTGCACTGCGCGAGAAATAAAACCATTTAATTTATAATTAAACTAACATTAGCTTTTTAAAAAATACCAAATTTTAACACTATTTTTTCTTTTTCTTTCCCTTTCCCCCCCCCCCCAATGAAAAATAATGATTTTTTTTTTTTTTTTTCAAATACAAGTCTGTACTTTTATTTTCTCTTACATCTACCTTAATAAAAAATATGGATTTTATAAGAGAGATGTAATATTGTAAAATGCAATGTGCATGTAGTTGATATAAATTTACTTTGTCTAGAAAACTAAAAGTTTTTTTTTTTTTTTTTTTTTTTTTCCGAGAGGACAGATTAAAGTCTGTCTTTTAAATATAGTTAATAATCTTGTTTTATGTTATAGTGGTTGCTTGTGGAGAGAATTTTAGTAGTGCTATTTTTTTTTATTATTTTTATTTTGAACACATAAATCTCCCCATGCACAACAAATGATGAGGCTTATAAAAGTAAGTTAATTAAAACATGAAATGTTACATGCATAAATAAAATGAACAAAAACAGAGCACAGCCGTCTAGACTTCACAAAAACAGATAAGTTCACTGGTCTAGTTACTTCAAGCTTTTCAAAGTGCTGTGCAAGTATAATCTAGGGATATCAAAAGTAGGCTAGGAAAAAATTAAATGTTCTACATCTTGAGGTACTTTTTTTGAACACTCACATAAATTATTTGGTCTTAGATTGAAACGGATCAGGTAATTTGCAAATTTACTTTGATCACATAAAAACTGAGGTATTTTAGTGGTAATAAAGAGGAAAGACTTGGAATGCAGTCTATGGTAAATAGAAAAGAACATCTTGGTATACCCAGTAATACAAGGTGAAGTATATTTTTCATTTTATTTAGAAAAAATCTTCTTATAGTAAGAGGAAGTCCAATAACTCTTTGGAATTCTAATATTGATATTGATGGGTAAATTTGAAGTATCTTGATCAAAGAAATCAGTTCTTTCATTTCCATAGAATTTATGATGACCTTCTACATAAACAAAATGTATATCAATTCCTATATTTCTAAGCACACGAACAGCTAACAGTGTTCTAGTTGCTAATTTGTCACTGCTGGTAATACTGTTCAAAAAGTGAAGAGAAGAAAGATAAGCAGAACACACAGATGAGGATAATATCCCATTATCCTTAATCCACCTGACAATAAGATAAATACAGAGAAATTAAAAATAGTAAATCTGAGATTGATCTTCAAAAACATGAAATGCTAGACCAACCTTATTGTTCATTTTATTATCATTTTATCTATAAAGCAAGCTATATGCAAACACCTTGCACAGTCTCTTTATAATCACAGAAATTTATGGGCTCTAAAGTAGCTGGATGAAGAATGTTGGGGAAGGGAACATTTCTGTTTATGCAGTCTTCGAAAGTACCAGTTGCCAATGCTTCGAAAATATTATTACTGTATTGCATTTTTAAAACAATAGGCAGAACTCTTGCAAGAACAAAAGTAGCTTCATAACTTGGTGTTCTGTAACCACTATTAATACGAAGAAGAATTCTATGCTGAATCTTTCTCAGATTTCTTTTGTTAATCTTCTTTGGAAGAACATGCCCCCCAATCATGAGAGCCATATGAAATGAAAGGCATAATACTCTACTTATACATCAGCTCCCTGATTTTATAGCTTACTCCAAAAGTATTTTTAGCAGTTTAGTGAAAAACCATTAATAATTTTTTCAAATTTAGTAGGAAAAAAATTCAGTATGCTTTTTCCATGTTAATTTTTTTTTTCAAGTACGAGACCAAGATACTTAGTATCTTTAGTAATTTCCAAGGGTTTTCCAAGAAAACTGGATGCCCTTAGAATTATTGAAGAGTGTCAAATGAGTAATATTTTGTTCATCAAAATTTCTGCACAGTCATAACTTTACTTTTTGAAGTTGAAAGTTTATGACAGATTGCCCAACTGGAGAAAAATCTTGCACTGCTTGTGCTCTCAAAAGAATATCATTCAAAAGCTTTTCTTAAAAAATTAAAAATAAGTTATCAAATGCAGTTTTTAAATAACCACCCAGGTGACGTAAAAGATCATTTATTATTATGTTCCAAAGATTAGGACCAGATGCAGAGCCTAGAGAAGATCCTTTTTTCAGAGAATAAACCTCACTTTTGGACCCAAAGTAGAAATTCAGTAGTCCTCCCGTTTTTAAGAAGCTTTTCAGCAATATTATAGATGTTATATGGTATAGCAGCATCTTTTAGAATTTTTAAGATAGATGGCCAACAAATTAATTAAAACAATTTAAACATATAAATAATGTTAATTAAAATGCCTTTGATGTCCAGAAGAGTAAGAACTGCTGTAAACTTCATTTGCTTTCCATAATGCAAGATATTACTCAAATAAGGGAATCTTCAGTGGACTTCAGAGGAGTAAATCCAAACTGAGAATAACTATAAAAACATTTCTGTCTTAAATGCCAATTTATTGTGTTAATGATGAGAGTTTTAAGAAATTTTAAGTAGATAATAGGCTGATACATCTAATATTATCAAGATAAGAAGTTCTTACGTCTATAGGTTTAGGGATAAAAAGCAACCTAAGCTCTCTTCTATTGTGTTGAAAAGACTTCTAATTATAAACAAAGGTTGAAAAGTCTAGGCAAAAAAGTGTTATCCACTGCATGAAAGTACTGTATAATTTCATTAGAAAGAGAGTCAAGCCCACTTGATTTATTCTTGAGATTTTTAATAACAATGTTAACTTCTGAAGTAGAAAACTGACATCAGTAAATGAAATATATAGCCCATCTGATTCTGTATGCATAGCTTTATGAGAATTCTTATCATCATCCACATTATCCCTTGGAAAATTCTTTGTCATAATCACAAAAGTAGTATCACTCAATGATGAATAAGACTGCCATCTGGAAGTTTACAACCTGAAGTTTTAATCCTTTTTACAAAACTGGTCTTTTTGCAAACCTCGTGCTTATGTATGTGATATTTTAATTGCAGAGAAGACTCCAGTATTTTTTCTTTCGATAGTCGTTATGGCTGAGGGTAAAGGCATGCAGACGAAGATAACAAAAACTGGATGTTGACGAATCACCAATCTTTATTTTCACACATATCAAATTATTTTGGCAGACATTTATTCAATTATAGTTAAATACAATAATTTTATGTACACTGGCTTTAAAAGTACGATGTAAACATTTTAGACAGGAAGCATAAGTAGCATGGAGATGTTGGCAGGGCAGAAGTTACGAAAAGGAGTGAGTTGCTTGTGAAGCAGTATTTATACTAAGTAGGTGCATAAGTATAACTAAGCTGTGATTGGTTAATTTTAAATTTTAGTTCCTTTTTCAAGCAGTGTTATGTAACATGGAAAGATCTTGAATTTGGAGACCAGATGAACTTAGGGAGTGAGAACACCAAATTTAGAATAGTCAAATTTTGAGGTTGCCAATTATTTCTTAGCGTAGCTATCATATTTTATTATATCTTACATCTATATATATTTTCCAGGCATTGTAAACATTTCCATGAATCAAGCTTGGCTTTAGCTAATTTAGCCTTATAATTATATTGCAACTAAAAATTTGTAGTACTATTGAAGTATTTTTCTATATTTGCAACGACTGTGTGTTAACAATATTTACCTGTGTTCATAAAAGTTTCATATGAATTTACTTCACTTTTATGATAAGGGAATAATTTGTTTTGTAATTGTATTAAGTAGATTAATTTAGTTATGCATAGTGAAATAAATTTATGTATTAAATAAAGTGTTTATAAAATCCTTTGAAATTTAACTAGTTATCCATTTCTGTTACAGTGTTGTATATAAGTTTTACTGGAAACCAGGCAGCGATATAACATGTGAAGAATTGTCATCACCTTCTGAATATCAGATATTACCTGAATGGTTCATATCTGAATTTAATATCTAAAAGTAATTTTATTATGTTTGCAATGTAAAATTCACCTAACATTTTATCATTATAGACAGTTCTACTGGAAAAAATAAGTTTGCCATTTACGTTATGGACTTTTATGTACCATAAAGTGCCAGAAAAACTTGTATGTCACTCTAATACTTCTTAGATTTACAACAGGTGAACAAAATAACAGAAATAGGCCATGCTGTAGATTCCCTGAGCTTGCAGAAATATTTTTGAGGCTATAAATTTCCTACTTCCTGCAGAGCAATCCACAATTCTGTTATATACCGAGATGTAAGATTTCTGTATTCTGCTGCTTCCAGTGTATCATCCCAGATGTATTTAAAAACATTGAGATATGTTGACCTACAAGGGCATAGCAGCAACCTGAATTAACATTCTTTTAATCATAATTTGACATCTCTAAGTTTGTCTAGAGGTATCTTGACTTGTTGGAAAAGACAAAACTCAATGAATGCTAGATGTTCATCAAAAGGATGTACACATAATATTTAAATATTAGATACATTTATAGATGTATCAGGAAAGCCTTGGAATATCAGGTATATAAACTATACCATATTAGAGCTTGTGTTGGCCCTTGTTGGCATGCAAGACATATGGAGATTTTCTTGACTCATGGATTGTTCTATCTGCTAAAACAATTAGGCTGATCAGACAGCTACTCATTTCTAATTATCAGGTACCTGGTGGCAATACTTCCCTGCTCAAGTTATATGCATGCAGGTACAATGTATTTCTTAGTGGTATATAAACTGGACATAGCTATCTTATAGGGACTATTTAATGGCTCTCATACTGATGATCTTATATTGAGGCTTCAACACTAAATTCAGATATATCTTCAGATAGTGATGCATGTCTATCATATGAGACTAATTAATCCTTATAGCTGGTGTTGGTCACATTCATTAAACGATTTTTATGCTGTTGATTGTAAGTTTCAGACTTTGCCAGACCTTTTTTACAATGTCCCCTTAAAATGTCATCCATGAAAGTTAAAACTTCACTTTTGCTTGTATAATTTTAGTACAATCCATTTCATAAAATGAATTGTATTCATATGCCTTAAATAATGATAACTTGTTGTTATCATGAAGGAACAGCTTTAGAAGATTGCATAGATATTTATCACTTTATACACCTAACCTATAGTATGCATTGGTGACACTGTTAACTGCTCTTGAATGATTCCCCTGAAATGTTTTTCACAAATTACATCTCATCATCATACTCTAGCAACCAATACCACTATTAACAAAGCTATTAATAATAGCTCCAGCTAACAGTTGCCAGTTTTTCTGGCATTTTAACCTTCATGTTTCTTAGAAAAAGATGCAATAAAGATTTTTACATTTAAATTTCATTCTTTATCACTTTTTAAATTGAAGATTTGACTATATTTGCACTTCATAAGAATTACAATAGTATGTAGTTTTACAATACTCTCTGTAAATAATGAAAGGAAAATTTGCCAAAAGCTAGTTATAATAGCTAGTTTTACGGTGCAATTTTGATATAGGTTGGTCAAGTCATTTTGTTGTTTTCATGTATAAATATGCTAATGATGCAGTTAAAAATTATTTCAAAGAATTGTATGATACCAATATTTGTTATGATTTGTACACCAAATAAGAATAAGCTTTATTTTTTTTAATATAAATTTGATTTTGATTGATATATGCAAATATACCAAAATAATAAATATTTTAACTGTAATTCCTTTCTACAAATGTGGATCATTTTTGTTTGTAAGAACAAAGTTAGACTTCGTTTTCTTGTATGATTTTGGTGTATTTTCTGTAATTTTGGGGAAAGCACTTGCCATCATACCTGATGACTTGCAAATACTTTTTTATATACTTTTTTATTTTATTGAACATTTTAGCTAAAATAATAACTTTTTGTAATTTTTAAAACACATATTTATGTGTTAGAAACTAGTTAAGTAAGGTGTAGAGTTCATTTTGACTATATGATAATTAATGTGCAATTTGTGTGTGTGTGTTGCATAGCTGAATAAATATTATTATTATTTTTTTCCATAAGTTTTTCAATCAAAAAGTCCATTTTTGTATATGCGGGGGTTTTCTGAGTTCTGTTGTGCTTTGATGAAGGTTTTTCTTTTCTTTCTTTCTTTTCTTTCTTTCTTTCTTTTCTTTTTTTTTTTTTTTTAATTCTTTTATGAAACTAGTCAGTAAAATAAAATTTTATTAAGCTTACATTTTGTACTGTCATATTTTGTATTTGTATTTAATTGTCTTAATGGTGCAGCTTGAACTTATCAGTATAATAGTTTTCTTGCATTTTGACAGGTTTTTATGATGCATTAACTATTCATTAATTGATAAAGTATTCATTAATTGATATATGATAATAAACAAAATATTTTATCTTCATGGCAAAAAAAATTGTTTAATTTAAAATACATTGTTTATAATATGCATTGCAGGAGGCACAGTTCAGTATCTCTTGCTTTAGGTGGCTGATAAAAAAAATTATACTTTTCAAGCCTTGAAGGGATAATTTAGGACACAAACTTATCTATTATAGTGTAATATATTTTTGACACAAAATCTGACTTTTTTTTAAGTGACATTATGTTTTTTTTTTCCCCTCCCATAAGTCATAAGAGCAGTTTTAAAGTTATTTGTATTTAAAATTTTTGCTAATTTTTAGCTTTGCAGCAAAAAATATTTGTTTAAACTCTTTGTGTTAATCCAGTGCTAATTTTGAACTTTGCTGGGGGTGGATGGGTGAAAGGAAAATGAAATTTGTGTGTGTGTAAAAATCCACATTCTTTAAAAATAATTAAGTGATCAGAGAAATATTTAAGAAAATGCATTTAGAAAAAAATAAAAAAAAAAAAAAAATAAATAAATAAATTGTTTTCAAATTTCATTAATTTATAAATAAAATTTTATAATTATGGTTATACTAGAGATTAAGAATTTGAACTTATTATCCGATAAAAGCATTTCTGTAAATGATAACCATGAAAACATATTATTTTAAAGTAACTTTTAAATGAGTAAAAATAGCTATAACAAATTCATTGATGATTTTCTTTAAAGGTATATTTGACAATTTCCTGTGTTAAAATTTATGTATATAGCTTTTATGTGTGTATTATATAAAATAAAAGTGGATATGTTAGAACAAAAGCCAATAGAATGTTTGTTTTATGGCGGCTATCGTTCTAAGATGGCCACCTCTGAAAGTGACAAGTATTTTATAGAATATAATTAAATAACTACTTTGGACATTATTAGTAATTATGTTCTCAAATTTTTCCATAGGAAAAAGTATATCTTTAGCAGTATCTATTCATCTTTGAAAGATTTCGCCACCTGTGTGATAACAACAGCCTAAATAAAAGAATAAGTTTCATTATTCTTTAATAATTCATGTAATTTTCATCACATTTCTTTCATTTGATGTATGAATTTTTGGGTAATGATGCAGTGTGAGATCTAACGCTTTCAATTAGACATTAATTTTTTAGATGGCGCCACAAAAAAAAATGGTTGTTTTAATCATTTAATTTTCCTTCCATTTTATTGCATGCTCAAATATGAAGGTTACTGAATTTTTTATTATCTGAAACTATTATTATTGCATTATAAAGGGGCTGAAATTTGGAGTTTCATGCCGCAAATTGTTCCACGCTATCTTGCAAAAGCATGGTGGAAATCTCTTAACAAAAGTTATGACTATTTTTCGGATATGCTAAGCGACATTCATATAATGTATATGGCTACACAACTCGCAAAACCGGTCATTTTAAAGGTGATTCCTGCTTTTGTTTTGTAAAACTGGAAGAAATTTAAAAGTTTAGAACTGAAAATATTTAATAAAATATTAAATTAATTAATGTAATGATTTTCATTTTTGTATTCTTTATTATCTGTGTATATTTTCGCTTCAGAAACTTGAGCATGACATTTCATGCAATGACACTGTTATTTACCTAGGAAAAAAGATATGTATATCTGGCTGTCTTCATTATTTTTAATAAAATTAATCGTAATTTATATTTCAATGAAATTATTAATCATTTCAGTTAAGAAGATTTTGTGCAGTGTAAAAACCTCAGTCGACTTTGTTTTACATTTGATTCGAGTAACGTTCTTTAACCCAAAGGGGCGTTAACCCAGAAAGGCTATTATTCTCGAAACGACATTTTGCTTCAAATCATTATGAATTCCCGTTTCATTTTTCAAACTGTTACCACCAAATATTATTGCCTCATATTATATTTAAAGAAATTAAATAATGAAGAATCTTCATGAATGTATGCATGTTTCTCGCAGTGTGAAAAAACAGCGGTACCTACAGCCATCAGATAGTCCTCCACCTAAATATGGGAAACCCGGATTTGGAATTTGTTTTATTATATACTTCATATTTTGTAAAATTTCAATGATTTTTTGATTAACAAACTCAACGATTTCAAAGCGAGCAACGGCAGTACTGTTCGGAATAAAACATTTATAACTCCAGCGCACGAGACTGTCTATCAAAAATTCTAAAGATATGGTGTTTTAAAATATTTTTTGATTTTGTTGAATCAAATTTTATGTGGCATTAAGCGCGAAGAACATGTTATTTAATAAATAAAGTAAACACATTAACGTTAATAATAATAATAATAAGTTTTTTAAAGCTTCCTTGGAAAACTGAAGGTATGATGAACTGAGAACAGACTGGGGGGGCGGAAGTATGCCAACACGTAAATGCTGCATCGGGGGTTCTAAACGTACACTGCTCTGCTGCTTTTAAAATTTTTGTAATTTTGCTATTGAATTGTATATGGCGTAAGAGCAAAGAAAATTAAGCTTAACAACAAAGCTAAAAAGAACAAAAAATAAAGATTAGTACAAGTGAGTGTAACAGCAGACTGGTAGACTGCGAGCTCAGCGAGAACGTAAGAAACCTTAAAAAAACCTCTTTGGGTGACCGTTAAAATCTCAAACCTTTCATATACTTTTTTTCCCTCTCTTCATGCGTTAAAAATAAAAAAACGGGGTATTAGCGTATTCTTATTTCGTAAAGGTTTCAGAGTCATGTGGAGAAAATAACCATTTTACAAACAAATTCAACACATGCTGGGAGGGGTTCCTAGTCGGGCATCTCGATGGCTGTCCATGTAATGCATTACCCGACACTGCTGCCCATGCAAAGTATTACCCGACACTGCTGAACTTTAAAATAGACTGTCTATCATCCGTAAAATATATATCAAACCCCCATGACCGCAAGAAATTGGTGAACATATTGAACAAGGATGTGATCTCTCTTCAGTCAGATTACAGTAAGAAAGATGTAGAGGTCTTTGCGGCTGCTGACGAAAATCCCTGCCCAGATCTTCAACAGTAACCTCTGGGATGCTGTAGCGTGTATTTCGAGTATGTTACTGGCTTGATAACGAGTAGTAGGCGTTCTCCAGGCAGGACTTGAAAATTGGAAGTACCGAAGCCTTATGGCAGGGAGTCAGAAAAATAGACTGAAGTAAATAAATAATTAAATAAATTGTTAATTAGTTAAAATAATAAGTTAAGGAAGAATATTTAAATCATAACTAAAATATCAAAGCCCATCTTATTTGGAGCACCGGCTGAAATTACTGCTTCTTTCGAAAACTGAAAAGCATCAACAAACCCGGGCTGTGACTGAATGTAAGCTTCCAGGCAATACCTTTTCGCAGTAATGTGCACCAAGCTAATGACTCGTCTGTAAAGAGTGGAGTTCAGTTGAGTTGATATTGAAGTCAGTCGAAGCGGGCCTCTGTATGCGAAGCTGTGTATAGGATTCAAACCTTCTGTGTGCATTGTATAGAGTATACTGTACAATAAATAAGGTATATAGCCGTCTATAAACAGTTTGCGGAAATAGCTTTTCTTCTCAGTGTTGCATCAATGTCGGAGGCAAATTGATCTGCAGTGATGGTGTGATGCTGTTAAACGTAGAAAGAGATTATCTGCCGCCCAACCGGTATAGTGGTTAGCGTCGCTGATTGCCGTGCCGAAGGGCCCGGGTTCGAATCCCGGAGAAGGCATGGATGTTTGTAAATGTATAGTGTTCGTGGGACATGGGGGCACTCTAAATATGTGTCGAACCGAAAATCGTCTCGGGAGGTTGGTGGTAGGAGAAGAGGTGTGGAGACCATTGGACCCGTCCCTCCATCAAAAATTGGGGGCGGAAATGAGCTAAATCGCACTGTCACCTGTAAGGTGCTCAAGGTTGTTGCCAACGATAGGCGTAAACGAGGAATTTCGTGGGGCTTGGGCTGTCAAGTCTAGGCTAGGCCAGACAAGTGAGCAACAACAACTTTAACAACAACAACAACAGAGATTATTTTGAGCTGTTTTATGATTCTTGGATGTCAACTTACTGGTCTTCATGACAGCGCTTTGATACCATTTCCATAGGCAATAACGGAATAGTTTCCATTTTAGGATTCGGATTACTTCCCGATTATCGCGGGTTCCTTTCGAGACGCTCTGTGTCCGATTATCTAGCGTCATTCAGATGATATTTTCCATTCATTTTTCAAAATTTGAGTATTCCAGTCTTCATTTTGTAACGCAGAGAAGCTTTGTGCAAGACAGGTAATTTTTATCTTAGCATATTTCCATTTTAAAAATAATGGTATGTAAAAAAAGTTTTGTGAGGTAGTTGCCGCGTACTTAAATTTGTTTTGTATGTAAATTTTGTGATTATATGTTGTATCTGCCTGTAAATATTTTCATTGCTTATCTTTTGAGCACTGATAATGCAGATGAAATTAGGAAAGCATTTAATGCGAGACTGCAGGATTTTTGAGTATACCTTGTGTAATTATCACTGTGAATACTGGTTCTTGTTACTAAACCGAGTGTGTGAATACTTGTTCTTGTTAATTTAATGTTTGTTCGCATGATAGAGGAGAATATAATGAAATATTATAAGCAGATGCAGGAGAATATAGATGAGATTAATATCGCTTCTTGAGAATAAGAGGTTAAATTTCTCATGAGGGTAAACATTACTTCCGAGTATCTTATAATTTGATAACATAGAATATTTCATGAAAAAAAATATATATATATATATATATATATATATATATCACTAACTGCAGGCAGAACAACAGTTTTTATCTGCAGAATGTTTATTATCTAGAAGTTTTATCTATGTGTCTGCGATACAATAAGTAGAAATGATCCTTTAAAATAATTCCATTGGGAAATAAATATTGTATGGGTGGAATTCATCTGTCGCCATATTTGATGCATAATTATTTTTTAAAAAATTTCTTCTTAAGTGTGAAAATTGCTGATTTATGATGATAGAAGTTAACAGTGTTCGATTTTTGACTATTGCTTAAATCTTTTTAGCATAAAATACAAAATCTAGAAAAAAAATTAAGTTTACTTTTCTGGTATATTTACTGTAACTAGAAATCTTACTTCAAAATGGCTTCAAGATTCCAAGCTGTTCCTACCAATACATCTTCAAAACCTTTAATTGTAGTGAAAAAAGATGAAATGTGTGGAATTGGATCTTGTACCCCAAGGTGGTTACAAAGGTTTGCAGATCCTAAAGTTTATCTTCTGGTATTTTGTGCTCTTGGTATTCTTCAAGGAGCGTATTTTACATATTTCATCGGTGTAATAACAACTTTGGAAAAAAGATATGCATTTGAAAGCAAAGTGACGGGTGTCATAATGATCGCCGATAATTTAAGTCCTATATTTACTAGTTTACTTTTTGGATACTACGGTGGTAAAGCCAATAAACCAAAACTAATAGCCGGCAGTATGATTCTTGTAATAATTAGCTGTTTTGCGAGTGCTATACCGTATTTTATATATGGACCTGGTCTGCATATACTGTCGAAATCTGTAGATTCTTTATCGAAAATTAACAGAGAATACTGTGATTTAGAAGACAGAAATGAAGGCTGTAATCCGAGCGAAGTTGCTTCTCTACATCCAGCTGTAATAATTCTTTTTATCGCTAATTTTTTAAACGGTTTTGGATATACAGCATTCTATACAGTTGGAACTCCCTACTTAGATGATAATGTGAAAAAGAAGAATTCACCTCTTTATTTTAGTAAGTATCTTAGTAAGTAATTTTGTTCTGAAACAGCTGATGTACCTTATTTTGCTTATATAAGATACTTTGATCTTGTGCTTATATAAGACGCTTTTGTCTTAAATTGTTTCTCTTAAAACCGTATGTCATATGTTAAGTAGCTTAAATTTTGCTTCAGAGTGTAGTATTTTTATCATTTAATTATTTTTTTTTTTTAAAGAACAGCGTGAAGTTTCTCTTATATCCAAACCTTTTTTCTCGAAAGCTGCCTTCAAAAAATTAAGTATCATATCTTATAAGGTATTTTCTTCCTCCTTTTCGCATGGTTTCATGGTGTAACGGTAGCACACTCGGCGCGTATTCGAGAGGTCCAGGTTCGAGTCTCGGAGAGGGCATCGCATATTTTTCGCGTCTCTTGCTTCAGAATAAACCTAATGACTCTACAATGGCGCCCGAACCGAAAAAAGGGGGTGAACGATGATTCTTTATCACCAGGATTTGGTGACTGAAAACTTAATTCCCAGTCGCCCTTTACAGGAGGCAGTATGTAAGATATTTTCTTCCTCCTTTCTGCATGCCTTCCTGGCGTAACGGTAGCTTACTGGACGCGCATTTGAGAGATCCAAGTTCGAGTCCCGCTGAAGTCACTGCACATTTTTCACTTCTCCTACTTCAAAATAACCTAATGGCCCTACAATCTTACACTTGGGAGTGTTTTATATTCGGGGCAAAAAGGGTATTTAATTAGAATTGCTGATGTGGTTTATTTGACCATGACAAAGCATGCTCGGGCTATCTGGCCTAAAGGCAGGGATGCCTTCGAGGAGGACTTTTAAAAGGAAATTGGCTTGTATCCGTGTTGCACATCAGGAAAACCATGAAAACGCCCATGCCAAGATATGCCATGGAAACGCCCATTTATTTGCCTAATCAAACCCAAGTCGAACAACCATGTTCAGCGACTTTACCGCTTGGCCGCTGGAGGACTCAATTATAACTGCATCGATATCTTTATTAATAATTGTTAAACTGAATATAAAAAAAAAACTTTTCTTAAAAATGAAATTTGTAGTCACATTTCAGAAGTTTGATTATGAATTTAGTTTTCGAATTATTCGTAGTTAAAATAATAATTGTTTTGAGTGCTGTAACATTGAAATAATAATATTGTTTCTGTAAGTAAATCTAATTAGCATAATGATTTTGGTAAGACGTTAAAAGATTTCAGATTGCTAATGTATGCTTTTATGTATGTTTTATTTAGAAATTATTTGAATCTTTATTATTGATAATTATTAAAAGTATTCTTATCAAAAGAATAACAAAGCACGCTTTTATGATGATGCATTTGTATAATTTTATTGAAAACACCTTTGCTTTTATGTTAATTTTTATCGCTCCCTTCTTTTTTCACTGGCCTTCATCAGAATACAAACTAAGATGAGTTAAAATAGCGCTTGAGTTTCGTTTATGCGGGGAAATCTATCAGAGTTGAAGCTATAGATTATTATTGGCTAAAATCTGACGTTAAGCGAATGAGAGTTGTCTACTTTTGGAAGCTAAAGAATCCTTATGGCGTCACCAGCAAATGTGTACATTTTTGGTTAGCATGTAACTTTACGTACAGAAGTCATAACAACAAATATATAGTTCTGTTTTATCAGGGGTACTGTATCTGAGGTTCTAGTACAGGCACTACTTACTGTAACGATGATAATTCTCCTGAATAAGAACTTGCGTTGCGTTAAGTTACAAGCTTAGTCAAGCCAAAGTTTATGAAAACTTAATTCGTTTATCATTTAATCAGTAATAATTTTACAAAAGATATTTCACTTCCAAAGAGAAGAAAATATTTAGAATATAATTTGTTTTAAAATGTAAACATTGTTATACAATTTCATTTCAGATTTTGGAAAATTACCCCTATTTAAAAACTATAGGAATTAAAAAATCTCTTACTTTAAGTTCTTAATAAAAGAATTGTAAATTTTATACGCAGATAGGCCTACTAGGCAGTGCACAATCAAATAATCCAATCTGATTTTCTGCAGTAATAGCGAATAAAGCCTTTTTCTCCGTGAACATGAAATACGTTATTTATTCGTATATATATTTATTCTTCATTTGCATACTACCTTTGTATCTAGTCCTGTGATTATTGTTTCTGTCATTTTAATTTATTTAGAAAGTATGGGACTTATTTTAAAATTTAGACTGTGGCTAGAAATAAATTACAAATGCATTGTATATTGTATATTACAAATGAAACATAGACTAATAATTATGAAATTTTGGTACCCTACGATGTTCAGTGTCACATACCAGAGTTTTTACGGCCGAACGGTAAAGTCGCTGAACTCTGGTAATTCGGTCCGAGGTTAGAATCCCACGAACGTGCTGGCTGCTTAGGCGTTTACGTAGTTTTCCCCACGCGTAATGTATATACGAGCAAGTTTCCCTTAGAAAGTCCTCCACGAAGGGCATCCCTCCCCTTAGGCAGAAAGCCTTCGAGTGCGTTGCCGTAATCAAATAAACAAATCCGAGTTTTTACACACTACAGAAATATTCCTAAAAAAAGGGGGGGGAATAATGCATTGCTTTGAACTCAATCATCATGGTGCATATAGTTTTCTATTTACAAAATCACTGATTTTTCCTTTCACTTTTCTCCGCTTCGTATGCTCTTATACCAAAGGTTTTTTTACTGCTGTTTATTTTAATATGGTATGTAAAATTTCTTTTAATCACGAATCTGAATCTCACTATTCTTTTACATGGCTGTGAGTTTCTTTTATTCGTATTTCGACAATTATGTAGTATTTCAGAAATATATATTTTAATAAGCTAAATGTCCTTATGCGGTCCGTTATGAAATTTAAAATTTGATAGAGCTCAATACTTTGTTCTAAATCAGCAAAACTTCCGTTGTATTCAGAGTATAGGAAAATTTAGTCTAAGCTTGCATTTTTGATTAATTTTAAATGTGAAGAACGTTTTTGTTTTGTTCGCAGAAGATAGTGATATATCGAGCAGACCCGAACAAGGTCGGCCAAAATCCACAACCACGAATGAGGATCGTTATTTGGCACTTTCAGTGCGCCGCCACAGGATAGCTACAACTTCACAGCTCTCACGTAAGCTGTATATTGCCACCGGAATCCGAGTTTCACAGTCTGCAGTTGTTCCAAAGTTTCATGAGATAGGGCTGTGTGGCGGAAGACCTGCTATTTGTGTCCCACTCACTGCAGCACACAAGAGAGCGGGTTTAGCATGATGCAGACAATACGGGCCTTGGACCAAGAGGACCGTGCTTTTTACAGATATGTCGATATTCGGCCTAGACATTGATTCTCAGCGCACCTGTATCTCGAGAAAGCCTGGAACATGATACATCCCTCGCTCATCAGGAAAAAAGATCATTCCTAGTATGATAGACGCCTGCACACCCCTGCATGGTTTGATAGCAACGTCCTGAATGCTATGAGGTTCATGGATGAGATCTTGGAGCCTTGAGTTTAACGTTTCAGAGATGCAGTTGGTCCTGGGTCCCGTTAACTGGTGACAAAGCTCGTCCACACAAAGCTCAAGTGGATTGACGATTACCTGTAAAATGAGGATATTCGCCATATTCATTGGACAATCAGATCTCCTGATCTTAACCTTCTTTTTACAGATATGTCGATATTCGGCCTAGACATTGATTCTCAGCGCACCTGTATCTCGAGAAAGCCTGGAACATGATACATCCCTCGCTCATCAGGAAAAAAGATCATTCCTAGTATGATAGACGCCTGCACACCCCTGCATGGTTTGATAGCAACGTCCTGAATGCTATGAGGTTCATGGATGAGATCTTGGAGCCTTGAGCTTAACGTTTCAGAGATGCAGTTGGTCCTGGGACCCGTTAACTGGTGACAAAGCTCATCCACACAAAGCTCAAGTGGATTGATGATTACCTGTAAAATGAGGATATTCGCCATATTCATTGGACAATCAGATCTCCTGATCTTAACCTTATAGAGCATGTTTAAGACACTCTTGGGAGGGCAGTTTCATCTCCTCCTCCTCCTCTGAGATTTATCTCGAAGTTGAAAACTGCTTTGCTACAGAAGTAGGATGGACTGCCACAGGGACTTCTCAATCGCCTCCTCTCCAGTATGCCGTCATACTGCGAGATCTATCTGGCTGTGAAAAGAGTTAATAACCTATATTAAACTCATTTTCAGTTCGCTATCACAACATGCATTTTGAACATTCGTTATAAGCTTTACTGATAATCATGCGTATATAAAATGACTTTTGAATAATGCATCTCTTTCTTTGTTATAAATGTATATTCATAGAAAATTTCATTAGAGAAACCCGTGCATTAGTTTTTCATAAATTCTGTATAATGGACAAATTCTCTTAATTTTGAACACGAGTTTATTTTCTAGTGGATCAAATAACTACTATCCAGTAAAAAGGCAAAGTTCTGCATCAATATGTTTATTTATTTGTCGCTACCAATTGTGAAATTCCATATTTTGTTGGAAAACGCCTCAGCCAGAGGCGTCACCTTAGAGCGGGCGATGCATACGGGGCTCGCCTGTACATTTCAAACCGAGACAAAAGACTTATTGTTAAACTTGGTCATATAATAAAATCCTTATTAAATACTTCTGTGTGCACTGCATCAGTAATTTTGAATCAGATATTCAAAATGAAATGTACTGTGCGCTGTCACTTCCTATGGTTTTCTACCAATCCCTTATCGTTCTATCTGCGACTGGACGAATTTCGCGTTGTAGCATGCTGTGGCGTCATAGCTATAAGCAGAGAATATTTATATGAATAGTTTATTATTGATTTAGAGCGTTAAGGCACGTGTTTAGAGCGTTACCTTTTAAGGCGTTAAAGGCAAGCTTTCTGTTTATTTTGTACTACGCACTAAATTTAAGTATCAATTACTACTTCTTTCCAAGCTCCATAGGACAATGTTTAAGAGATGATTAAGGGAAACATATTAAGAGAAACAT